CATAGGAAGCACTAGACAAGTGTCAGAGTATATTATTAAAATACGGCAGGATCTTCCTATTTTGATAGCGTGGCTCCAGGTTCATTCGGCTGCTTGGGTTTAATTCCTGACTGACACTGAAGCGGCTTCATGATTCAGGGCAAATGCTGTAACTCAGTTCCTTCACCTCAGTGAAATGGACATAATAATCATCTAGTTCCAAGGATTCTTGTCGAGACTAAGTAACAATTCACATGTAGTATTTTGCCCAGAGCTTGGCAGTTGTAAGTGTTCAACAGATATAACATGCTACCAAGGTTGTGATGAGTTGATTATTAATATTAATTGTTTTGTAATAATTAATATATTTTGTAATATATGCCATACATTTAGTCACGATAGAGTATTGAATGAATGCTGAAGTGACCTAATCTTAGTTACTTTGCAATTACTTCACGGATATAGAGGATAGAAGAATTTTGGTCACTCGTGAAGCCCCGTTTAGTGGCAACAGCACATTTTATTTCTTTAAAAAAAATTCCTCGGCACTCTGAGGTTCGTGTTTAATTTGTGTGCAGAGCCTGACGACAGCATGTTTTACACCAGAACTGGAATAACATGTCAGGACTGTCTTGGTTCCTCGGATTTGGATCCTGCCTTGTTTTATAAGTAGTTCAGTGGGAAATGGGCGGATGTGGTGGGGGAGGCAAGCTTCTTAGGTGCTGCCTGTGGCCTTGAAACAGATTCCCTCTCCTCGACCCCAGCCCGGCCTGCAGCTGCAGGCCCTCCTGGGAGACTTCTGCCAAATGGAGAAAGGAAGGGTCAGAACAATAAGGAAAGTGTTCCAAACAGCCACTCGTGAGATTCCGAGAGTATCTGGACCGTGCTGGCTTTTTCCGCTCCTAAGGTCACTGAGTGGCTGGGCCCCTCCCCGCGCAGCCGTCTGTCAAGGCTGGAGGTGCTGGAGGTGCTGGCGGCCCCTGGGGGCTTGCCTCCCAATTTTGCAGTGGCATTTCTCAGTGAGAGCAGTCTTTATTGTGTTTCATTTTATCCTTTGTATTGTCGCGGTTTCAGATCTTTGCAGAGATGAGAATTTATAGCTGTTGGGAAGTTCTTCTAATGGAAGCCCTCCCCTCCCTCGGGGAGGAAGGAAATGCCTAACAAAGCAAAGCTGTGGGGTTGAGTTTTTATAGACCGTGGCCTGTTCCTAGAAGGGGGAGGCGGGCTGAGGGAGCCAGGGGTGTTGCCTGGCTTTTGGGGCAGGGGTCAGGGTGCTCCTTCCATTCAGTCTGACGCCAGCTTCCCTGAGTGGCAGCCCTGCCCAGACCCAGAGGGCAGCAAGGCCAGACACAGGCCGTGTAGCCTCTGCCGTAACAACTTGAGAGGTCAGTTAGTAGAAAGCGCAGGAGGAGGGGCTGCCCTTCCCAGAGAGGTCTGAAAAACCATGAAATCCCTAATTACGCTGCACCTTTTAAAAGGAATAGCTGGGCCTTTCCCAGTGTTCCATGTGCTCCTTTTCCCTTTGTTCTCCCCCTTTACAGTTGAGTGGGGCTTGTCCAGCGAGCCTCCGGCCGAGGTTCAGTCGTCTCTGCCTCTGTCTAGTGGTTTCCATCTTGGTCACAAACTGGATGACATTTGTGAGAACGCTGCTGCTTACTAATATTCATTTTTCCATCCATTTTTATAAAAGATGATAAAAGTCAGTATGTTAGGAAATGAATTGCCAGTAAAAGCAAGCACAGCAGCAAAGCTGAGCCATCCCGTCCCCGTCACCCTCTCGGCCATCCCAGCCCACAGGAGGGGTGCTTCTGCTGGGGGCAAACTGGGCTCATGTGTTCAGCCCGGGCCTTGGAAGGTGGCCTGGGTCATCCATGTGTAATGTCACTGTCTGGAGCAGGGAACTGCCTGTGTGTGCACTGGCCTGTCACCCTTCCCTCAGTCTCTAAGCTGGGACAGAAGCATGTTGGGGGTGGGGGACAGTCCATTGTTGAAGCCCTCTGGCTGGCCGGCCCGTGCCCGGAAACACATCCCCGTGTGCTTGAGGGACAGATCTGCTGTAAAATGTTATAAGCAGCCCCGTTCAGGGAATGACTGTATTCCAGGCACGTTGACAGTTGAGTTTTTGTTAATCACATCTTTGCCCAGAGAACTTTAACTCACAGTAGGTTCCAGCCAGTTATCCATTTCACAAAGAACCGAATTTCACTGATGTTTTCAGTGAGGATTTCGTACTGTGGAGTGTCATTTGGGTTTTCCTAAAATGAACAGCTGCCATGACAAGTCTACTCATGCGCTGAAGATGAAAGATCATATTGTCGAGGTAAATTTAGTCGGAAAATGATACTTTCATGGGAATTTAATTAGAAAAATGCCATCTTGTTGAGGATTTTGCAGGTCAGAGAGATAAGGTTTAATTTGAGTCCTGAGAAGTGCCATGAGCTCAGATTGATTTTTTTCAGAGCCACCGTTTCATACCCAGCCTTGTTTCTTGTTCCTCTTTGAGTTCCATTGGGCAGAAGACAAGGCCTGGCCCCGCTGCTGGGCGCTCTCCCCTCCCATCCTGGTCCTCTCCCCCTTCTCCTCCGTCCAGGCAGAGCGCACTGACCCTTGTTAGAGTCCGGGGTCAGCTCTGAGGACAGCCTTTTCAGCAGAATAGCTGGAATTCCTGAGCAGAGTTCTGCATGATTTTGTTTGTTTAAGCTTGTGGTTGACTCTTCTGTCTCTTATTTCCGAATATGGTATCCTTAAATCCTTGTGGGCCTGGAACTTGAGATAAACCCTAGCCTCAGGGGTCCTGAGTGATGAGGCCAAAAAGATTCAATCTGAGTAGAAAAGGTCCTGGGTTTGCAGTATCACTGGAAAGCGGGCACCTCAGGAGGCGTTCGTGTGCAGTGTGACCC